ATCATCAAAAACCTGGGGGCAGGTACACCGGAATCATCAAAAACCTGGGGGCAGGTACACCGGAATCATCAAAAACCTGGGGGCAGGTACCCCAAAGTACCCCAAAATCATCAAAAACCTGGGGGCAGGTACCCCAAAATCATCAAAACCTCCCAAAATCATCAAAAACTTGGGGGCAGGTAGCACAGAATCATCAAAACCTCCCGAAATCCTCGAAAACCTGGGGGCAGGTACACCGGAATCATCAAAAACCTGGGGGCAGGTACCCCAAGTTCCCCAAAATCATCAAAAACCTGGGGGCAGGTACCACAGAATCATCAGAAACCTGGAGACAGGTACCCCAAAATCATCAAAACCTCCCGAAATCCTCAAAAACCTGGGGGCAGGTACCCCAAAGTACACCAAAATCATCAAAAACCTGGAGGCAGGTACACCGGAATCATCAAAACCTGGGGGCAGGTACCCCAGGTTCCCCAAAATCATCAAAAACCTGGGGCAGGTAGCACAGAATCATCAAAACCTGGAGGCAGGTACCCCAAAATCATCAAAACCTCCCGAAATCCTCGAAAACCTGGGGGCAGGTACCCCAAAATCATCAAAAACCTGGCGGCAGGTACCCCAAGTACCCCAAAATCATCAAAAACCTGGGGGCAGGTGGCACAGAATCCTCAGAAACCTGGAGACAGGTACCCCAAGTGCCCCAAAATCATCAAAAACCTGGGTGCAGGTACCCCAGAATCATCAAAAACCTGGAGGCAGGTACCCCAAAATCCTCAGAAACCTGGGGGCAGGTACCCCAGAATCATCAAAAACATGGGTGCAGGTACCCCAAAGTACCCCAAAATCCTCAAACCCCCCCCAAAACCATCAAAACCCCCCCCCAAATCCTCAAAACGCTGGACGCAAGTACCCCAAGTACCCCAAAATCCTCAAAAATCTGGGGGCAGGTACCCTGAAATCATCAGAACCTCAAAAAATCATCAAAACCACCCAAAATCCTCAAAACGCTGGATGCAGGTACCTCAAAGTACCCCAAAATCCTCAAAAACCTGGAATTGTGGGGAATTGTGAGGGAAGAAAAAGGGAGGAAAATGTGAGGGGAGAAAAAAAGCAGGAAAGTGTGAGGGGGAAAAAAGGTGGGAATTTGTGAGGGGGAAAAAAAAGGCGGGAATTTGTGAGGGGAAAAATAGCAGGAAATTGTGAGGGGAGAAAAATGTGAGGAGAGGAAAAATGCGGAAAGTGTGAGGGGAAAAAAGGTGGGGAAATGTGAGAGGAGAAAAAGGGAGGAAAATGTGAGGAGATGAAAAAAGCAGGAAAGTGAGGGGAGGAAAAAGGCGGGAAAGTGTGAGGGGAAAAAAAAATCAGGAAATTGTGAGGGGAAAAAAAGGTGGGAAAGTGTGAGGGGAAAGAAAAATTAGGAAGTTGTGAGGGGAAAAATAGCAGGAAATTGTGAGGGGAGAAAAATGTGAGGAGAGGAAAAAAGCAGAAAAGTGAGGGGAGGAAAAAGGCGGGAAATTCTGAGGGGAAAAAAAGGCGGGAATTTGTGAGGGGAAAAAAAATTAGGAAATTGTGAGCGGAAAAATAGCAGGAAATTGTGAGGGGAGAAAAATGTGAGGAGAGGAAAAATGGGGAATTGTGAGGAGAGGAAAAATGCAGAAAGTGTGAGGGGAGAAAAAGGGAGAAAAATGTGAGGAGAGGAAAAAAGCAGGAAAGTGAGGGGA